TGGTGTTGACTCCCCCTCTTCCCAGTCTTGGGGACCCCTCCTGAGGTCCCCATGTTGGCCTGGCCCTGGTGACTCCAGCTCAGAACGGCCTCTGGATGAGTCTGGTCCAGGTGGGTAAACTGAGGCCCGGAGAGAGGCCGGCGCCTSCCGTCTGGGGCGGCAGAGAAACGTGTGTGCGGTTTTTCCCGGGAGCTCGGGCCCAGCGTGGCGGGAACTGAAGCTCAGAGGTCACCGAGAGCCCGGGGCCAGCGGGAGGGGGCCGGCCTGGCTGGTGGCCCGGCAGCTCGGCTGGGGGGCGCSGGAGGCAGAGGTTGGCGGTGTCGGAAGCCAAAGGCTGGGCCTCCCCGAGGGAGCCGCTTTCCCGGCCCGGGTCGGATCAATGGGCTGTAATTATACCGCGCCGGGCCCGGAGCCGGCGGGGAGGGAGCGGGAGCTGCAGGAGGCAGCGCGGGCGGGGGCGCGGGAGCCAGGGACCCACGTTACTTTGATTGACAGCCTGGGCCGGCGCCGCGCGCGAGCTGCTGGGGCTCGTAGTCCTCCCGGGAAGCCCGGCTCTCGGCCCGCGKCCTGCTCCGGGGAAACCGAGGCCGCGCCGGCACCCCGCGACCCGCCCCCAGCTGTGGGCCACCCCCGCCGCTGCCCTCCTGGGGATCCAGCCGAGCTGAGGCCCGGGACCTCCAGGCTCGGGTAGGGTCTGGACTCGTCCCTGGGGCGTCTCGCGAGACTTCGCCGCTCCCGGCCTCGGTTTACCTATCTGTGAAAGGGGGCGAACGGCACCGCCTCTGCCTCGGAGGCGCCCGGGCCTCGCCCAGGGAGCAAGCTGGGCCAGGGAGCTTTGTTTTTAAGGGGAGACCTGCCAGGCTTAGGGAATAACTCGCTACCCCGTTTGGGGGGGGACAGTCAAGCCAGACACCCCCTGCCCCCCAGCCGGGCTCGGTGGTCCACGAGGGTCTCTGCTCCGCCTAGGGAGGGGGAACTACACTCGCCAGACCCCGCGGGGAGCGCCTAGCCGCCTTCCCATTGGCCCAGTCGATCTCACAGCCTCCTGCCATTGGTGGCTGGCATCCAGGTGCCCATTGGCCAGCGCCCATTGTGACGTCACAGACCCATGTGGGAGCGCCGCGGATGGATTGGCTGGCGCGCTCAGCCAACCACCGTGGAGAAAGGAATTTCCACAGTAGCTGGGGCGGTGAGGCTGATTTAAGGTGGTCTGAGCAATCCAGGGTCCCAGCGCTGCTTCTCAGCTTTTTCCTTTAAAAAAAAAAAAAACCCCACATCCACAGCATAGAAACTCAGCCAGGAAACAGGGGCTGGATCTTTCTGTATAGCGGGAGGACAGAGATTGGAAGCCAAACCCCCTTCTCCATTTCACAGCTCCCAGCACTCATTTTGCAGAAGGGGAAACTGAGACCCGGGAGGTGGTGCTTGAAGTCCCTGGATAGGGTTGGCTGGGGAAAGAAGATTGTGCTAGAAACTGTGCAGGCTGTTAACTCCCTGCCTTGCGAGTCTTTTCCTTGCTTCCTAGTCTGGCCGAATGTGCATTTCAGGGACTTAGCAGGCACCCGAATCCCCACGCATCTCACAGGCTTGGCTCAGCCCAGCCTCCCCACATCCCATCCGTGGCTCTCAAGGGTGGGGACGCTGCAGCTCACAGCAACTGCTCCTCCTTCCTGGCAGCTCATGCACACCAAGGGATGGGGTGCGTGTGGTCTTGTGCTTCCCGGGCAGTTCACAAGCCTGTACTTACCCCACTGTGGAGTGTGCCACTGACGGATCCAGGCGCTGGTGGGCAGAAAGCCCTGCCCAGGAAGCTGCGCCCTCTCTGGTCCCTTCAGTCGTGGCTCTTTCCTCCTAGCTCTGACTCTGGGCCTGGAACCATGTAGGTGTTCAGTTGTGTTCCCTTCCCTCCACCCATCCCGCAAGCTCCTGCCTGGCAAGACCTGGGTCAGGGTCCTCCCTAGGGTGCCAGCGTCCTGCAGTGTGAGGAGGTGGTTCCAGAATAAATGTCCACTTGTACACCAACACCAGGAGGGGAGCCTGGAGGCTGGGGCTGGTTTGGGAGGTGCTACCTGGAGGAGAGGCGTTTGAGGGGCCTAGGAAGGGTGCACATCTCTAGGCAGTAGTGGAAGGAGGGGGAATTCCAGGAAGAGGTAACTGCCCCAGAAAAGGCCCTGAGTGGGGACAAGATAGGCAACTGGGCCAAGGTGGCGGTGTGCAGTGGTGGAGGGGGGCGGGGCTAAGTGGCCAGAGGTCCTGGGGAATTGTCCCCTGGAGCAAGGGAGCTGTGGGAGGTGGGAGTGAGGGGACCAGGCTGATTGACAGCCCAGAGGGAGGTGCTGGTGGGAGGAGGTGGCTGGTGGGACTGGAGAGGAGCCAGACAGCGGGGAGGGGTGGGACTGGCTGGGGTGGAGAGGAGGGTCACAGGGCAGGTGATGGACCTCTGCCTCAGAGTATGGGGGTGGGCTGTGGGGCTGACAGGGTCAGGAACCACCGGCCTAGGGACACCCAGGGGAGATGTCCAGTCGGTGGCTGGGCCCACAGGCCAGGGTATCCCAGGACGGATCTGGGGTGGGGCCAGATCTAGAGCCTCAAGGGGAAAATGGGGTCCCGTGAGGCACAGGCCAAGGTGACCTCCAGGTGACCAGACTAAGGAAGGAAAGAGCCCTGGGCCTGGAGAGGAGAGAGGGCCACAGGTCTGGAGGCATCAGGGACAGGTGAGGGGCGAGAGGCGAGAGGCGAGGCTGCTGCCAGCAGAACCCAGAGGAGCCTCAGGGAAGGGCCGGAGCCTTGCCCGGGACCGCTGGTCATCTCGGCCACTGGGGAGGCTGGGGCAGGCGGCGCTCCGAGGCCAGCCTGGGCAACTTAGTCCCCTGAGCACAGCCGAAGGAAAGGGGGTGCACCCCGAGCCAGAGGCATTAGGCAGAGGCTGAGGGAGGGAGGCCCCGAGAAGCCAAGGGGCTGCGGGCAGGTGAAGAGGGCTGGGCACACCCTCTGGACTCAGGGTCCCGGGAGGGCACTGTGAGTGTCCCAGGGGAGGCAGGACATGTCCCGGAAAGCGTTTGGAACCAGGAGCCTGGAAGCACGGATTGGCGTCAGGGGCCCGTGGGGCAGGGCAGCAGGGCAAGGCGGCGCTGCAGCCCACAGGTCACTCCTTCCCCACCGCCTGTCCACGCCTCTGGACTTGCCTCAAGCTTGCTTCATGCCAGGCCCCTGAGGGGCAGGAGTGTCCAGTCCCCACACCGCCTGGGGTGGGGAGACAGCGAGGAGCGGGGCTCAGGGAACAGGTGGTGGGGCCCAGAGCTGCAGGAAGGACAGGAGGGGCCTTTCTGAGCAGCAAGGCCAGGGCCGGGCGCAGCTGGGATAGAGCCTGCCTGGCCTGCAGGCGGGGGTTGCATCCCCAGCACTGAAAATGTCCACGAGAAGCCAGCAGAGAGTGACCAGGCTGAGGAACAGCCAAGTGCACAGGCCCGGGGGCTGGCGGTGCCTGGAGTATGGAGCAGACCAGGAGCTGGGGTCCTGGAGGGAGGAAGGGCGGAGGGTTTTAGCCCCTTTTTTATTTTCAGCCCACTGTGGGAAGGGAGTGGAGTTTGGATCTGATTATTTCTTTATCTTTGTGGTGCTGGGGGTCAAACCCAGGCCTCATGCCTGCCCAGCCAGTGCTCTCCCGCTGAGCTGCACCCCCAGACCTGGATTGTGGATTTCTCTTACTTCTTGGCACTGGGGATGGAACCCACGGTGCTCTACCACTGAGCCACAATCCCAGCCCCTTTTCACTTATTTTGAGACAGGACTCACCAAGTTGCTCAGGCTGGTCTCAAACGTGCCATCCTCCTGCCTCAGCCTCCTGAGTGGCTGGGATGACAGGTGTGTGCCATCGTGCAAAATCCGATTTTGATGGCAGTAGGGAGCCACCGAACACTCCAGCACACCCTCATTTTGTAGACCCAGGACCTCTCTTCCTCACCCTTCCGTGGCCGACTTTATCCTTGGGGTACAGTCTTGGATAGTAGCCTTTCAATGAGCCCTCGCCCTTTCACACACACACAGTTTTAGGGTTCCCAGGCTGGATTCTGTGTGGTCAGCAGCTGGTCTCCTCTGAGCTTACTCCTACAGGGCTGGGATCTGCCCTTCTTCACCCTGGGTCCCTGTGCCTGGAAGGGCACTTGGCACGGTGTCTACCTGTCTGCTGAAAGAGGAGGCCTGTGTGCAGGGGATCCGGTGCCYTTCCGCTGCTTACCTGCCCAGAGTCCAGCAGCAACAGGGGGCTCCCCTACACAGTGCCGGTGCCTARCCCCCTGTCCCCAGAGGCGCTGTGGACCAGGATAGCCCAGCACAGTTGGCTCTTGGTGTGTTTGCTGACTGACTTAATGGGCTCAGGGTCTCATAGACAAGATGGGAGCAAGGACTCCCTACTGGCAGGTGAGGTGAGTGAGGGCTCCCTGGATGGCCCAGGAGGGGGAGTCTCTGCCGCAGACTCTGGTCTGAGCCCCTACCTTCCAGAGGAGCAGGGAGGCCCAGACCGGCCAGGGGCTGACCTGCTGGGCAGTGGAGCCTGGCCCTGTCCTTCCCTGGCAGGTGTTCCTGCCTCCCCTTGGCCAGACCCTCCTCCTGACCCTTCAGTCTGAGCCCAATGTCACTGCCTGGGAAAAGCCATTGCTGACCCCAGACCAGCGCCCTCCCCACGGGGCGGCCAGTGTCGGTCGTTTCCTCGTCCGGGGTGGGAGCCCAGGGCCTGGCCACCAGCCTCAGTTTCCCCACGGGCCAAGGGCGCAGGAACGGGGGTCTGGGTCGCCGCGCGCGGGGGGCGTGGGCGCCGGGCGGGGCGCGYGGGGGCAGCGGCGCCACCTTAAGGCGGCTCTGCCCGCGGCTCCCGGCCGAGCCCCGCCGGAGGGAGGCGGCTCCGCGCGGGGCCCGCCGCCCGCGCCGCCACCGAGCCGGCCGCCGACCTTCCCGCCGCCCGCCGCCCGCGCCGGGTCGGCAGGGGCCGCGGGTCCCGCAGCGCGCCCGCCCCGCCCGGCCGTGCGCCCCGCGCCGCCGCCCCCTGCCCACATTGTCCGGCTCGGGCGGCGCCGAGCCTCGGGACGGCAGGATGTACCCCCAGGGGAGGCACCCGGTGAGCGGGGGCCCCGGGCGCAGGGGGGTCGCCGGCCGCCCCGGGCCCCGGAACTCAGCCCCGCGCGTCCCCCCAGACCCCGCTGCAGCCCGGCCAGCCCTTCAAGTTCTCCATCCTGGAGATCTGCGACCGCATCAAGGAGGAGTTCCAGTTCCTGCAGGCGCAGTACCACAGGTGAGCGCCAGCACCGCAGTCCAGGGCAGGTGGCGCCCAGGGCGGGCAGGTGGGCGCCCAGGGCCGCGGGTCGCCACCGCGGGGCACCGAGGGGCGACAGCCTGCACCCCCGGGTCGCGGGAGGGTGGGAGGAAGTGAGGGGGGACCCACCTCCTCACTTTGGAAACTGGCCCACTGTGGGGCGCGGGGACCCTCTTGTCCTCTTCTCCCCAGCCTCAAGCTGGAATGTGAGAAGCTGGCCAGTGAGAAGACCGAGATGCAGCGGCATTATGTTATGGTGAGGGGCTGGTCCTTGGACGGGGGAGAAAGGCCGGGGGCTGGTGTTGACCCTGAGCCCGTCCTACCCGCCTGAGATCTGGGCTTCCTGTCCACGGCCTCCCGACTGCCCCTCCGCAGCCCTGTGGGCCAGGGTCTCTGGGTATCCCCACCTGCCCCTCCTCTCCTAGGAGGGCAAAGGGACTCCTCCAGGCAGACCTCCTGATTCCTCCCTGGTCTCTCCTTCTGACGCCCCCATGGGGCTGGGGCTCCATGTCACACTGATCCTCCATGTCACGCTGACCCCTAGCCTGGGTGCTCTTGAGACCCCAGCGTCCCCCAACTCCTAGGTGTCCCCAGTGGGCTTTTCCTTTGCAGTACTACGAAATGTCCTACGGGCTCAACATCGAGATGCATAAGCAGGTAACTGCGGGGCTGGGGTGTTCAGGAGGGAGGGTGGGGTCGGGAAGCCACGGGACCCCAGGGTGCAGTTTGGGCCAAGGCAGACCCAGGGAGCGAGGCTCATCATAAAATCCTGCAGAGGCTCCGGAGGGCAGATTTGGGAACCGTCTCGTGGAAGCAAAGTGATTTTCAGTTTCTGGGGACAGGAGCTCAGCTGGAGCCAGCCAGCAGAGAGGTGGGCAGGGGGCAGGGGCTGGGTGTCCCCTGGAGCCGAGGGTGGCCCTCTGGATAGGAGGCCTCTGTCCCAGGAAAGGCCCTGGCCGATGGTCTTGGAGGTCCCTTCCTGCCCAAGTCTGAGGTTTGGAGATGGACCCTGAGTCCATCCCAGTGGCATTGCCAGAAGGTTCTGAGCTGGTTCTCAGGCCCTGACTTGGACTGAGCCTGCCTTTCCAGGCTGTCCTCCAGGCTCCGAGATTGACCCCGATTCTGTGGGCTTCTGAGACCCTTCCTGAGCTTCTGAACGTGACCCAGGGTTCTGAGGGGGTGTCAAGGTTCTGAAGTGGCCCAGGGTTACTCCTGAGACTGACAGGGCTCCTAGGGGGTGGGAGGGTCCTGGGGCTGAGCAGACAGATGCTTAGATTCTGTCCCTCAGAATGTCAGAGCCCAGGGCAGAGCCGCGTCAGGGCTTCCTGGTGGGGAGTGTGGGGTGCGGGGTGCCCGCCCTGGCATGCCTTCCTGGGCATGTCTGGACCCCAGTTCTGTGGTGGGGGAGCCTGGTGCCATCCACGGGTGCACGCAGTAGGCCCCTCACGGGGAGAAGGGATGGTGGTGTGCCAGGCCCTGGGGCTTGGCCTGCGCCCTCCAGGTGTGGGACGGCACCCGTCAGAGACAGTGCACCTGTGACTCAGGCAGAGGCGAAGCCCTYGGCCCCCTCCCTCCCCTGCCCTCAGCTGGGCCGGGCCCCTGCCCACACCCTGACGGCAGCAGAGCCCTGACTTTGCGTGTGGGGTGCTGAGACTGGGGCTCGCAGCACGATGCCCGTGACGCCCAGAGCGGGGCTGTGCCCAGGGTCAGCGCAGGCCCACCAGGCTAGAGCCCGGCCGGGCTCCCGTGGTCAGCCCCACACCTCTGGGCGCCTGACTGACGTGTGGCCGGATGGCCCCTGCGGTCGGTGGGTGTCTGGGGGGTGGACTGTCGCTGGACTCCAGGCCACCCTGGGCCTCAGCCAGGACCCGCAGGCGGAGTCCCCTTGGCCCTGCCTGGCCGKCCTCCGTGTCCCAGTGCAGCTGGCCTGCGACTCCTGCCCCGGGTTGGCAAGTGCTGGTCACTCGGGAGCTGGCCAAGCCGGTCTTGTCATTTCCTGCCAGGCAGAGATTGTGAAGCGGCTCAGCGGCATCTGTGCCCAGATCATCCCCTTCCTGACCCAGGAGGTGAGTGGGCCTGGGAGGGGGACGGGGAGGCACCCGGTGGGCAGCCAGGGCACCTCCGCGGGTCCTGCTGTGTGCACTGGTGGGGGCGGCCACCGTGGGCAGGGGTTGTGGGAATGGAGGGAGCTGTTGGCTGGGGGTGAGGATGGAGGTGACAGGTGTGGAGCTGACCCCTCGGGCCACCTCAGTCCCCATCCTGGCTGTGTGGCCTTAGGCAAGACAGGTGCCTCTCTGTGCTTGTTTGCTCGTCGCTGTGGTCACCAAGCGTGGGTGCAGGCCCAGTGGGTGGGGGGCGGGTGAGGCCCCACCAAGGGACTTGCTGCAGGGCCCCCCCACGGCAGGTCCCTGGAGTTGGCAGATCCGAGGCCAGGAGGCGGCATGGGGAGCAGGGACCAATGGGAGCTGGGGTGGAGTGGGCGAGGCCTCGTGTGCAGAGGCGGACTGTTCTGGGGCTGCAGGGGTGGGGCAGGGCGAGCTGCGCAGCCTGCTCCTGGCTGGGCACTTCAGCGAGGTGAYTGGTGGGTTTCCTGGTGTATTTTAACATAGTGATTTTAAGAAGATGGAAGGAGCACAGAGTGTAGGGTGGGGCGAGCCCTTCACTGGGACTAACACCAAAGCCAGCTTGTGAGGGCACCAGCCCCTGGGCCCAGGGCCTTTGCACAGGCTCTTCCTAGTCCTGGCTGAAGGATTCTGTGATGAGGAGAGTTTCTGCCTCAGAGTGGGTACACTGGGGGGGGCCTTGTCGCCGTGGGGATCAAACAGAGGGGGATGCTCAACTCAGGTAGGACCCCGACCCCCCTGAGCCTGAGGTTTCTGGGAGCTCAGGACAGGAAGTGGTGGGGACGGGCCCTGAGTGAGAAGGGAAGGAACGTTAAGAGGTTGGGGTGAAAGGACTTTGGGAAGGAGCAGCCACAGGCACAGGTGTCTGCCCAGCACTCTGCCCCCAGGCCGGGAGTTGGCAGGCTGCAACCCGCCTGCACACCCGGCCCTCTGTCTGCCTGTGTGAATAAAGCTTTATTGTCACCCACCACACCTGTCGGCGTCCACGCTGTCCACAGCAGCTTCCCCACTGCAGTGGCCAGCTGAGGAGGTGTAACTGAGGCCCAGAGCCTGCAAGCCAGAAAATGTCCACTCTCTGGCCCCTTAGAGAAGAGGCGGCCCTGGACACACACACCCAGACGGTGTGCCCTCGGAGGTGGTCTCAGCACCCGCTCACTGGCCCTTCTGCCATCCTCAGGAGCACAGTGGACAGCTGTGTCTGGCCAGGGGCCACACTGCGCCTCCCATGGAGAGGCCTCCAGCCGTGTGTGGCCACTCAGTTCATGACKTTAATGTCTTGTTTTTCTGTGGTGCTGGGGACGGAGCCCAGGGCCTCGTGCGTGCTGGGTGAGCCTCCATGAACGCAGCTCCGGGAGGCACACTTGCTCAGCAGGCASGAGGCCCTGGGCTCTGTCCCCAGCACTGGAAGAAAAGGAACATTGAGTTAAAGAGGCCAGAGGCAGAAGAGCAGAGGGCCACAGAGGCGGTCGAGTGGGGGGCCTAGCTGCTCTGGCAGGCGGCTCGGGTCGGGCTCCTCAGGTGTTCCCTGGAGGTGTGTGTCCTTGGGCCCGGTGGGTGGCACCTGGAGCTGACCTAGCAGTGTTCTCTACTGGGGACGTGCCTGGTGACACAGTGGGTGCTGCCGGCCTGGGGCGGTGGAGGCCAGGGACACTGCTCAGCACCCTGCAGTCCAGGACGCACCCCGAGAAGGGTCCAGGGGTCCAGCCTCCAGGGCAGTTGCCCTGAGGGGGAATGGAGATGCGGATCGGTGACCGTGGGGTCCTTTTCTTGTTTATTTCATCATTTTAAGAAGAGAGGGAGGGACGAGCAAGAAGGGGACCAGAGTAGAGGGGGCAGGGCTGGCTCAGGTGCCTCTGTCCTGTCCAGCACCAGCAGCAGGTTCTCCAGGCCGTGGAGCGGGCCAAGCAGGTGACGGTGGGGGAGCTGAACAGCCTCATCGGGGTGAGTGCTGCCGGCCCGGGTTGCCCTGGGGATGCGGACCCCAGGCCCCTGCCACCTGCCCCCGGGAGGGAGGGGCAGGAGTGTGCCCCCTCTGCTCAAGCCCTGCCCCCGCTGTCCCCCGGGCCCCGGGATGCTGCTGGGTGCCCGCCCTGGCCCATCCTTCGTCCCCCCTAGCAGCAGCTCCAGCCGCCGTCCCACCACGCCCCCCCTGTGCCCCTCACCCCTCGCCCGGCTGGGCTGGTGGGCAGCAGTGCCACCGGGCTGCTGGCCCTGTCCGGAGCGCTGGCCGCACAGGCTCAGCTGGCAGCAGCCGCCAAGGAGGATCGAGCAGGCGCAGAGGCCGAGGGGCCCAGAGGTGAGTGGGCAGCCCAGGCTGGCCCCTGGGGTGGGCGGGGGGGGGAGGGGCCGCGGCTGAGGTTCGCCTTGTCCCCAGCCATGTCCTGGGCCACCTCTGCCCTCCTCGGGGCACCTTTGTGAAGGGGTGGGAAGGGGCAGCCGCTCCCCGCGGGTGTGCAGCTGGGAGAAGATGCTATGCCCAGCAGCCCTCAGTGACATGCCCCCCCC